CCTGGCATGTATGGCCCTTAATGAGATGACCTTGCTCTACATTTCAACTTCATCACCTGTCCTTCCCCTTAGAGAGCTTGAACCCCTGGCACACAGAACTGCCATTGAGGAAGAAGGGGGAAGAGGCGATAGCTCTGGGGCATCAACTCAGACAAGAGTGAGCTTTCTCCTGTGGCCGAAAGTGTGATGTTTTGGGGAGCCACCATCCCCAGCCCCAATGAGAGGTGAACAACTTTCATGCTGGGGCTTCAGGAAAGCAGGACCGTCAGGGAAGGTCTTTAGCTCTAACAGGAAGCAGAATCATCGGCAAATAGTAGGACAGTTTGCTCACTGAAGTCCTGGGGCACACAGTCAACAGAGTTGGGGTCAACAGGCCAGGAAAAATCAGGACCATTTTTCAGAACAACAATCAGTATAAAGCAATCTGGGTAAAAAATGTCAAGAGATTTGGAGAGGGGCTATCTTTTAATTGGTACCAGATGAGACCCAGAAAGTGCTTGATAATGTTTGTTGAGCAATTTATTTCTGCTACTTTTTCACTCCCCTCTATTAATATATTGTTTGCTTATAACATTAATATTACATTTAATTCTACTGGATTCATTCTGGTTTCAAAAAGCCATTTCTTTCATCCACTTAGGAAAGTTTTATGGAATACCTACCATACCTCTACATTAGAACATTTGTGGGGCAAAGATATGATGACTGTTCTTCACGAATCTTCATAGTAAGACATTTAGAGATAGACATAAGATGTTTACGTATGATCTCTCACTCTATGTTTGTACGTTACCATCTTTTCCTTTTATCATCCCAGACTATGAGTAATCATGGTCTGTGTAGCATATTCTTCTCTCCTGGCCAAGTTAAGAGAGATCGTGTATGATGACTTACTTCTGTGTTGGAAGACTTTGTATGTATTATTATGCATAACCATCATATGTATAATAGTTATTATTATATACCTGTATATTGTTTATGTAAAAAAAAGTGATCTGGTAGAGTCTGGAAATTTAGCCAAAGTTAGATTTCATTCTGCGGTTTTTTTTAGACCTTGTCCAAACTCTCAAAAGGATTTCAGTTAAGGTTGTTTTACCTTTTAGTAAGATTTCTTTTTGTCTTTCCTAAAAAGATTCAGCCTCTTGGAGTTGAGTGTAAGTAAAGACATAGATAGATTTGGAAAGAAATGAGGAAAGTGCACACATTTCCATATAGAATCATGCTTGTGGAGCTTCCTCTTCCTGGCATTAAACATGGCGAAGACATTGATCCCAACTGGAAAGACAAGTAGAAGTCAACTAACTCTTCCCATCTCAATCTCTTACACACTTCTTACCATTTCTTTTTAAGTCAAAGAACTTGTGTCCCCTCAATTAAAAAAAACAAAAGAACAAAAAACAGTGGGCTCCCCTGGGAGGACAGATTAAGCCCACTTTTTCTGAGGATACCTGTGACTTTCACTCTGTTAACCTCTTGTAAACCAGCATCCCTCTGCAGCTGCGTCTGTGTGCCCCTGGCTCAGACCTTCAGTGTATGATTCAGGAAGCTGAAGTCTGGGAGTTGGACGATAGCACAGTTGGGAAGGGGGTCCAGTGCGGGCCTGTCCACTGAACCACACCAGCACCTGTTGGCCGAGCCTCCGCCCACCCTCCGCCGCTCACCCTGCTTGCTGCGTTCGGCACCCACTCCATCCCAGTTTATGTCTGTTCATTCGGATGCTTTTGTCATCCCTGCTTTTGGTCTCCAGCTCTCATTTCTGATACTCTGTCCCCTCTGCCCCCACCGGGCAAGGCAGCGTTTCCCCTCCCTCTGCCCAAGACCCCCATCGCCTGCATGTGTAGCGGGGCTCCAGGACTTCTTCCCAGGTGGCATTTTCAGGGCTGCCCCCGGCTTCTCTGGCCAAAGGAAGGACAGTTCAGTTACCCTGACACCATTTGCACGCATCCATCTGGTTGTCATCTAGGGACACCCGGCCTGTCTCTTCTGAGGAGCTTTCTGAGATCAGCCTTCCTCAGCCTTGCCCTTTGATTTCCCCTCATTGACTCCTACAGCTCTGACTTCTGCAGTTCTCTGTCTTCTGTCCTTTGAGATCCCTCACAGGCAGATAGACTGTGCATGGTCTCCTGAGTGAAGCCCGTCGGGGTGGCCCCGGCTATCCTCCTTCCTCGGGCCCCACCGGGTCCTCATTTGTTGTAGTTTGGTGGGTTTTTGTTTTGACTTTGGAAGAAATGTTTCTAAACATTGCTGGGATGACCCCCAACCAGAGGCTCCCTTTATACTCTCACCTCCTCTTCTGGATTCAGGTCGGATGCTGGTCCTCCACACAAACGTAGAAAGCATGTGAAACTCAAGTGGCCTGTTCATTCTGGTAATTTTCACAACTAAGAGACTCAGGTCGTGACAAAGCACATTTGCTTTTAGCAGGTTCCCGAATCCTGTGACTTTCTTTCTCTCCCCCTGAAGCCAGCCCTTTATCGTAGAGCTCGATCCCCAGAGCAGAGGGGGAGCCTTTAGCTGGAGGTGTCAGGGTCCGTGTGGAGAAGTGGGTTGGCACTGGCTGGAGAAGCAGGCTGAAGGCGGCCGAGCGGGCGCCCAGTGGAGGGGACGTGGCAGCCACCAGCCGTGCCCGCTGAGATCAGCACGCTGCAGCCTCTGATGCGTGCACAGCTTCCCACAGGGAGAACATGGAGGATGAAAACCCCACAAGAAAGAAGCTTCTTGCCCAGACTGGGCTGTTCCCCAGCCGGGAAAGTGTGTGTTTGGGTGCTGAAACTGACAGCACGTTTGCGTGCAGCTTGCCTTCGGGATCCCTCCCCGAGCGCTTCCAGACACAGCCCATGCCGTAGACCTCCTGAGGAGGTCGTCGATTTTGCTGGCTCCGCGTTATTTAAATCGTGCTTAGTCATTCATTCTCATAAAATCTGGACTATCACTTACTGTATCTGTGTTGTCATTTTCACAGGTGTTGGATGTAAAAATAGTTTCATTACGAATGAAAGTATTTCTCCTCTCAGGCAGATACCAACATATAACAATATTGTAAAGTTGGAAATCTGTGTCATTTGTGTTCACCCGTGTGAGATATTAAAGGCAGAAGTAATATTTTTATTACCTTTTTAAATATTGGAGATACTTATTTCAAAGCAGTATATAAAAGTTTCCTTATCTTCAATAATATATCCAAATATCTAGCTGGGCAACACAAAATACCTAGATTCATTATACAGTTACCAATTCTACAGAGAAATCTGGCTTTGTACGATGCTAAGTGCATTAGAACATCGTTATATTAAATGTGCCGTATTTATTTGCAGGAGCTGTGCTTTTCCTGATAGATACTTTCTGTAGGCCTTTTCTTTTTATCATAGTTTAAATTTCAAGCATTTAATGGCGTGACTGCGTGAGTCTTTTATTTTAACACCCAGATTAGAGAGAAAAAAATTCTGGCATAACACTTTCACTTTAACACCCAGGTTAGAGGAAAAAAAATCCACTTCTCTCAATCTTTGGGAAGACACCAGCTGATGCACAGTGTAAAAAGATAGGATGTTCAAAATAGCTCCTAATAGCATCCTCTAATGTTATTATTTATGGAAAATATTTTATATCTGTATAATTTTAGAGTTTTCTTTAAGTAATATTTATTAAGTACTCCCAGTGCAGTACAGAGATACTTTAGTTCAAAAACAAAATCCCCTTAGGGAAAAGGAATCTTAAAAAGTCATTGTAAAGGTTCTGGAGATCTGTTGCACAACAATGCAAATATCATTAACTGAACTGTGCACTTAAAAATGATTAAGATGGTGAGGTGCCTAGTGGCTCAGTTGGTTAAGCGTCTAACTCTTGGTTTTGGTTCAGGTCATGATCTCAGGGTCGTGAGATCAAGCCCTTCATCGGGCTGCCCACTCAGTGGGGAGTCTGCTTGAAGAGTCTCTCCCTCTGCCCCTCCCCCCACTTGCTCAAGTGTGTGTGTGCATGCGCTCTCTCTCTCAAATAAACCTTTTTAAAAAAACGATTAAGATGGTAAATTTTTTTTTTTTAAAGATTTTATTTATTTGAGAGAGAGAGTGAGAGAGAGAGCACAAGAGGGGGGAGCGGGAGAGGGAGAAGCAGACTCCCTGCCAAGCAGGGAGCCCGATGCGGGACTCGATCCAGGGACTCCAGGATCATGACCTGAGCCGAAGGCAGTCGCTTAACCAACTGAGCCACCCAGGCGCCCTAAGATGGTAAATTTTATGTTATGTGTTTTTTAACCATAATTGAAAAAAAAAAAAGAAGGCACGTAGTTACAAGGTTGAGATGGCAGTGGCTTTGGTCTGGGCAGTTCCAGGGATGCATAGTTGCAGGGACATCTCCCCCGTGAGTCAAGGCTGGAGAAAGACAAAGCCCTCTCCTCCACCGCCTTGGATGTCTCTCTGCTCCTACACTGTCATTTCTGAAGTTGATGCCTCCACCAACAGTGTCGTACTGAGGTGTCTCCTGTGCCAGCAGCCCATCCTCAGAAAGCTCTACATCCCACCCATGCCACATGTTCTTCCTGGTACTTGCATCTGCTGGCCAGGTTGGTGAGCAGGCTGGCTGGCCTCCACGTCCATCCCAAGTGAACGTCTGCGGCAGATCCAAGCCCAGGCTTTCGGCCCTGTAGTCCCATCATGGGGGGGTCTTTTGCCTCAGCTCATTTTCTTAGGACACCCTCACTCAGAGGGAATTTAAGGTGTGTTCTTCACACCTTAAGAGATGAAACCTGCTCAGAAAAGTTCTTTTATCCTAAGAGAATTTAGCCAGAAAGAAAGTTAAAATGAGATGCACCAGAAATATGATGGGTTTCTTCAGACCGTAGCCAGTTTTCTTGCCTTTAATTTTTATAGATTACTTAAGTTTCTGAAAGCTTGCATTTGGACTCAGGAATCTTTCCCATTTCCAAAGAAGGGGTGTGTTTTTTGGCGGTGGATTATTTTTTCTTCTGCTCATGCACAGTGATCTCTTTGGCCCTGTTTCCATTAGGAGATGAAAGCATGGAAATTAAAAAACAAATCACAGGAATGAGAAGATTACTGAATGACAGCACTGGAAGGATCTATCAGCGTGTGGGCAAAGAAGGAGAAAAATTAAAGGAAGAACCCCAGGATTTGGATTCAGTCTGGCCTCCACGTTTGAACTCCTCTGCTGAGGCCCCACAGAGCCTCCACCCTTCTTCACGTGGTGCGTGGAATGAGTTACCACCCCCCAGCGGGCAGTTCTCAGGGCAGTATGGCACCCGCTCTAGAACCTTCCAGAGTCAGCCCCACAGCACTGGGAGCTCCAACGGTATGGTCATGATGAGACATTGAGAATGCTCGTAGGGGTGGTGGTGGGGGGGGTGTCCCAATGTGTTTTACTTCTAAGTGTTCACCATGGTTTTGAGTTCAAACCCAAACATTAAACCCTCCCCTAGTCCCCTGCCTTGGCTGAGCAACACAAAGAGTATAAAAACCAGAATTGAGAAGCAAGAGTAAGGCTCTATAATAGAAATCACGATTTCTTAGAGGGATTTTAGCCCTTTAGGAAGTGAAAGCTATCATTTGCTGGGCGCCTGGGTGGCTCAGTCGGTTAGGTGACTGCCTTCGGCTCAGGTCATGATCCTGGAGTCCCGGGATCCAGTCCCGCATTGGGCTCCCTGCTCGGCGGGGAGTCTGCTTCTCCCTCTGACCCTCCCCCCTCTCATGTGCTCTCTCTCTCTCAAATAAATAAATAAAATCTTGAAAAAAAAAAAAAAAGCTATCATTTGCCAACACACCGATACTTTTGTCATCGGAAGGAGCTCCCCTTTGTCATCAAAGGGAGCTTCTGGTCAGATGGGTATCATTAATACATCCTCTTGCTTGCTTTTTTGCTTTTCTTCATGATCACAAGGGTTGTGGTGAACGGGGGGCAGGGTGGGGAGACACATATCCCAGCATCCTAGTGACACCTTTGCTTTTATGGGACATTCCAGTAACTGCAGCAGATGATCCTTGTTGTAGGGCTTCCTTCATTAGGGCTGAAAACTATCCCTTTAGAGTAAAATTTCCTTAATTTAAATTCCTAACTGTTCAGAAAAGAAAATTAAAAGGTAATTTTTTTTTCAAAGCTTAAAAAAAAAATTGATAATTTTTTTCTGGACATGTTAACTTACCATCCAGTCACCTTGGATGTTAGTTGTCCCATAAATGTTATATGGATGTGCAGATCTGTAGTTTTCAGAAAGAGAACAAGAAAAAGCAAGACTGCATTTTCAGTTTCCTTGAAAAGTTAAGGATTTTCTTTTTCCATTCATTATTCCTTCAAGAAGAAGAGAACTGTTTTGATTTTTTTTTAACACAATTTGCAATAACCAGTTCAGAGGCATGAAAAGCCATCCCGAGACACTGCTGATGAGACAGGAGGGACCCCAAGAGACGTACGGGAGTCTTCTCTTTCTCTCAATATTGCATAAGCCAGATCACATTCATGTGCTGGCATGCTTCCAGGTTAGGGGGACCTGGCTCTTTAAAGACTCCTCCATAAAAATGAGAAGTCAGTTCTCCTTAAAATTAGAAAATGATTTATAACAAGTTGGAAAGGGTTGGTTTTGTCCTCTAAAAATGACAAAGACAGTACTTAGAATACTGACTAGGAATATTCTTTAAGGCCCTCCTAATTCGACTGCCATGGAAGAAACGGTAAGAGAAATAGGACACCCTCAGGTGTGTATGAAGTTAATTCACCCCGCATCAATAAGTTTTGGGTGAAGAGCATTCTGTTTTCCAGGATGCAACAAGGATGGTGGATTTACTCGGGAAAATGTTATTAACGTTAAAAGTTACAAACATAAATTCCCCCATATTGGTTTGAAAACAGATTTTTTGTGTTTATTGTTTGCTTATTTTCAGTAGAAATTCATCATATACAACTGTGACTACTTCGAATTTCATTGAAATTATTTGCAGTTTTAAAAGTTGTAACATCTCAGTTTGCTGCAACTTTGAGTGTAAATAATTACGCTACTCCAAGCATTAAGTTGTCCGTACGTATTTTGTGATTTTGCCGTGGTGAAGTTTTTTATAGTATCCACAAACAGTGCATACTGTGGAATTAAAATTACACTTAATGTATAACAAAAGATGCAATTGGATCCATGCCTTCGAACTTTCCCCTTGTGCCTGGGGACACCCTGAGTGACAGCACATTCCAGGTCCCAGTGGTCGGGTTGGACACAGACGCCAGAGGGAACGCTGCAGGGAGAGGGATTTTCCAAATGTTCCACTGTATCCCGAGGACACGGGGACAACCTATGTTTAATAGGATGGTTTTACTAAGGAAAAGATACTAAATTGAAACAGAGATAAGGAGGCTAAAGTGAGGGAAACGTAAGACATGGGGAGGGGGAAAAGAGGTGTGAGGGTCTCCTTCACTAAGGTGGAGAAAAGCCAGCACCGAATATAGCCTCCCACGTACACTCTGCCCCCCCGGCTCTTCCCCACCCCAGACATCCCACTCCCACAGTGTTCTAAAAGTTTTAATGTCTTGACAGTTCTTAATTTGGGGAAATACTAGAAAAACTATTTTTTTAATCATTAGGCACATTTGATTTTTAACGTGAGATTTTAGAATGTGCAGCTACCGGGTTTTTCTAGAAGGCCGTTCTTCTCAGAGTTCGTGTTTTTCTGCAAGAGTGTATGTTTCTAGTGAATTTTTATGGTGCTGTCACCTGAGATGCACTGGTGTGACACTAGGGAGGCCTGCTGTGACCGCGAGCGTGGGCACACGTCCGTGCGGGCTCCAGCATCCCGCGAGACGCATGCACCTTACGGCGCAGAAGCCTGGATAATTAGATCAAGTCGGCCCCCAACATTCAGGTGGTAACAGATATCGGGTACATTTTCCTTAGGCACTGTTTCATAATAACCGCACGTGCTTCAAAATGCTGTCAGGATACCTTCCTTTCCCCCCTACCCCCTTTATAATTTTGTTGTTGACATTTGGAGTGTGCCACTCTTTTCTTTGATGCTTAGGAGAACTTCCCGCCATGAATTCGTCCGTTGGATCCAACTGCTGTACTTGCAACTGCCAGTCAACGTTGCAAGCCATCCTCCAAGAACTCAGGACCATGCGGAAATTAATGCAAATTCAAGCAGGTACTGACACCAGGCCCCTGACTTTTAATGCCTTTGACCTCTTCAATTGGGTCATTTATTGTGCTCTTGGTATTTGGTTCTTCTCACCTTGCTGTCTCGCTGTGCTTTTTCAACATGTTTTTCCTTTAGCAAATCTAACAGGTTTCTCATTGCTGATACTACTACTCATACGCTCGTGTGCGCGAGCCACAGAAGTGTGGCTGACTCCTCTTACCTCCTGAGGTGCTCCGTTTGGGGGCTGCATGCATGTCAACAACCCCTACGCCCGTCCCTGCCCCTTGTGGGGCGCAGCGTGACGGTAGGGAAGCCGCGCATTGTCGTACAGGACTGCAGGGCCCTCTCGGGAGTGTGGGCTGTCCTGGCGAAGACTTTCAAGAGCGTAAGCACATGAGGTGCTGCCTCTTAGGCCTTGCTTGCGGCTTGTCTCCCTAATATTCAGCATATAGAAGCCCGAAGACACCTCGTGTCCTGTCTTCCTTAGTTACATGACGCCTCTTTTGTTCTCACTCGTGTTAGTCAAGTGGAAGGATGGAAGAGCCGTGAGTCTGCAGGTTGGGGTCAGTGTCCCTGTTGTCCTCATGAGGCTGTGTGACTTCTCTGTGCTCAGATTTCTCATCTGGAGCTGGAGCATTAATATCTAACTCACAGGATGGTTTTCAAAATAGAATGAGTTAGTAAATGTAAAGAACTCTGTAAAGCATGATACAGGCAGAAAGTATTTCGTTAGTGTTGTTCTAAAGACCAGGAGCGGGTTCATAGAAGTCTGGGTCACCACCACAGCGAGTGTGGTGTCTAATCTCAACTCAAAAATGCAACTTTTTGATCACAGATCCAGAAAATAATAAATCATTTCATTAAGGCCTCCTCTGGTGAGGGAAGACTGCTCCTTGAGCAGGAAATAGCATAGTCATATGTGGCCAGCATTCCCATTCCTGCACTGTAAAGAGATTCAGGAAGGTCATCGTTCAGAAATCGTACTTGGTGCCATTTAGTGAATTCTAGCAAAATTGTAATATACAGTGATGTGGTTTTGATATAAAAAGCTTAATACGTAAACACACCGTCACCCAAGAGCGCAGGAAAGGAAGGTGAACAAAAGGCCCTCTGAAAAGCAACATCTAATTGTATGTGCTGAATTTGGTTTTAGCCCAAGGAAACAATAAGCATTTTGGTGAGGCCAGTAAGCTTTCACTCATCTTGTTCCACCACAACAACCCATGTTCTTATTGACCTGGCAAAAGTTAACATCTCTTAAATGAGGAGCACAGAAAGAAAGTCTCCTTCATGATGTACAGATTCTTTTCCTGGAGGAAGAATTTGTTAGCACTTAAGAAAATATGCATATGAAATTCTAATGATTTATTTTGTTACTTAAGCTCCTTACTACCGAAATGGCAAACTACAAATTGCAACCATTTAAATCCTTGACTGAAGCCCTTTTGGAATCTATTAAGTAAATGCCACTTTGTCACCGTGTTTTCTTTTCTGAACCTTTGCAGATTAGGGCGGTAAATGATTCCAGAGTTTGTAGGAGAGCAGAAAGGATAAACCAAAAAAATTACTCTTCCTTAATTTCCTTAAACTTAAAAATCTGTGTTGTGTGGGTAGATTGACTTAAGGCTTATTGCCTGTAACATGTAGATTTAAATTATATTTAGAAAGTTTCACCTTTACTTGAGGAAGAAGACAAGGAATACAATGAAGCCATAAGATCTGGAAGCAAGAGAGGACTGCTGTGTCTAGACTTGCCAATGGAGGAGAAAAAGTCAGATAGTCCCTGTGTTCCTTAAACCCAAAGCATTTTCACTTTTACTTTAGAATAGCGAAGCTTGGAGAGGCGTGAGTCCTAGACCATTGAAAACTGCTTCCCTTGTCTGTTTGACTTTGGGCGTGGAGACCTGGCCTTGTGTGAAGATCCAGAGAAGAAGAAAAATTCTCCACTCAGGCTTGTACGCTGGAATCACTTGAGGAGCTTTGAAAAAGATCTCAGTGCCTGGGCGCCACCCCTACAAATTCCAATTCAGTTAGTCTGGGGTAAGGCTGAGGCACGGACTTTTTTTTTTTTAAAAGCTCCCGGGTGATTCTAACGTGCAGCCAAGGTCAAGCACCAATAAATTGGACTAATACTGCACAGGTGGTTAAAAACCTTTTCAGTGCTCCTATGCAGTGCAAGGAGTTGTTTTCTTTTTTTTTTTTTTTAAGTAATCTCTGCACCCAACGTGGGGCTCGAATTTACAACCCCAAGATCAAGAGTCACATGCTCCTCCAGCTGAGCCAGCCAGGCGCCCCAAGTAGTTCATTTCTAATACTTGTAAATTTCTTGCCAGTCTAGAGATGCAAATACCAAGTTCAAAGTATAAATATCCTTTATTTGCAAACTGATAGGAAATGATCCATATTTATATGCATTTAAAGATCTTTAGTTTTCATTTGGCTTCTTTCTATAAAAAAGCAGGCATATCCAATGATCATATTTAGTAAGCCATATTGATACATGAAGATTTAAATAATGATGCCATATTTTTCTCTAACACTTTCCATCAGAATATTTCTAAATGGTTAACAAACATGACTTGCCAAAGTACATCTGTGAAAACTATACTTACTATCCTTGATTTCCTTACGTGTAGATTCAGTACTGATACTTGGTCTTTGTTCAGTGCTTTTCATCTTTGGAACTCCACCTGTTTCCGGATTTTGCTGGTCTTCTTGACTTGCACAGAACTATGTCATTCCTATTTTTCAGCTACCTAAAACCAAGGTATGGAGGACAGCCTGGTCAGAATGCAGTACTGAGTGCAGTGCTGCGGAGATGGTTTGTGCGTGGACAATATGGGTTTGTGAGGAAGGAGTAACTGGCCCTGATAAATGAGCAGCAGGCTTTGCCCACGGGTGTGCTAGTCATTCCAGACTGATTCTTTAAAAAATGATCATCATTGCTCAGTCTTAGTCCATTTTGGTGCCTGTAGCTTGCCAGCAGCTGATCAGCTTACCCTCAAAGGATGATTAGAATATTCCTGAGTTTGGCTTACCAGGAAGCACGGACAGCTACACCTGAACTTAAGTTCTGAGTTCCCATTTATATAAAAATGTCCTGCGACTTGTAAGAAGACCCTCAGATGTTCTTCTGTGGCTCAAAATCGCTTTCTTCCACAGAACCCAGTGGTAGCAGTAAGTGTGATGATTTACCAGCATCGGGGACAGAGTTTTCTCTGGGTCGCTCTTCTGCATGTAGAACTCGAAAGCACTCCAGAGACGACATTTGGTGTCCTACGGGTCCCACAGGAGATTGACTTTGGTCTCCTTCCTTGACTGAAGCCCATTTCGGTCTCAGCTTGTGGAACATGTAGGTGGACGGGTGATAACTTCTCCCAAGTTCGACTCAGATGCCTGTACTCTATTTTTGTTCATTTTTCACAGTTGGAACCCCAAACAGACAACAACCCCCGATTTCCCTTATATGCTCCCAGCGAACTGCTGTCTCACGCAAGAGAAATAAAAAGAAAAAAGTGCCCCCAAAGACTGTTGAACCTCTGACTGTGAGGCAGAAGCCTGGCGTGTTAGAAACGGAGAAGAAGACAGCCGGGGCCTCAGAGCAGCCTGGCTCCCAGGAGGCCGAGGCCCCCTCGGCCAGGGAGAACCGCGTGCTGGGATTCGGCATCGTCCTGGAGTCACCTGCCTCCGATGTAAGTCCATGTTCTCTGGCTACTGACACGAAACTGACGTCACTTGCAGGAATTTTATAGCACTGATACACTTTCCCCTTAGCTCGTTCCTCCCACGAACACTAGGGGAACTTGCAAAAGACATGTGAGAATGAGGAAAGGAAGACCATGAATAATTTCCTTGCCTAGAATTTTCACTTCCCAAAATCTTCTACCTTTATTTGAACGTGCCTCCATTCTTTATCCCTGCACGAAGAAGGGTGATGGAGTAAATAATCTGCTCACTAGTTTCTTTAACAGTTTTAATTCTGAAGTGGCCATTTTCAATGTCCTCAGCATAGAGAGCTAAAAGAACGTAATTAAATCCTTTGTAAATGGGCATAAATGAACAGAACCTTACAGATAAGGTCACACCTTTCTAGAAACACAAACTAATAATAAAAAAAGAGCAGTAGTGCTAATTCGATTTTATAGATGCAAGCCACACTGGAATTAGGTTGCAGTGCCATGCCATGTACTCTGTGTAATGATAGGTTAATGCTCTGCAACGGTTTTTCTATTTTAATATCATAGCTAGAAAGCTGTTGCAGTCCCAGATGTTGGATGACATCTAAGATACCCATCCAACTAACCATTTTATAGCCATATGACTATAAACTGATATCTTTAAGAATATGCTATCTTTGTAACTGCGTACTCTATTTACAGTATCTTTATCTAAGTACATTGATGCGAACCCCTCTTGTTGGGGGAGTTCTTCAAATAAACAGGAGTGAGTGATCTATTATTATCAGTTTGCATAGGATGAGAATCCTGCTGAGAACACCCACAGGCCTATATGGGATTGGAGTTTGGCCCTACCTTTTAAACTTTAAATGAAAACTAATTGCTATTTTTTAAAAAAAGTGTTCCCTTTCAAATTGCAGAAAGGCAGTTTGCTAGCATGTATCCATGTTGGGTCTTTACCAAAGGGAGGCGACTTTTTTAGGCTAGAAAGTCATTTGAACTTTTATCCAGTCCTTAGTGTGAAAGGGTTTTCTTGGTTTTTTTACCTTTGAACACATGCTAAAATTAGGAAGCAGTTCTTCTCGACTCAAAACTTAATTTTAAAAAAATCATTAATGATGATAATGTTCTACCCCAGGCTAGTCCGCTGACTTGATTACATCATATGCTTATTGCAACTAAGGCCCCGGTTTCAAAACCCAGGTAGATCACATATTTGGAAACAGAGGTGAATTATTCCACAACACAAAGTACATTCAATCTTAAGCAGTTTTCATAATACTTTTATATTTGTCTTGAACTTTCTAAGGGTTCTTTTCTGATAGACATTAATGTATCAGGAGCAATCATTTGAATTGTGTAAATCATCTCCTAAATGGGTCACTCTAGTGCTAATAACTGAACTTTCTCCTTTCTTTATTTTTAAACTCCAAATATACTTCAGAGATAAACTCTGGAAGATCTCATAAAGGCCTTATGTACATTAATAAAACAGAATAGAATTTTACTGATATCAGCATTATAATTTTGTTTATATGCCAAATAAAAATAAATTGCTTTTTATTCATGATTATTTTTGCTAACAAGAGCTGTTAAATGTAACAAAGCACATTCAGAATTGTCCATGAAAACTCAGTTAGGTGCTGATTATCTTTGACCGAAGAATAACGTGCTTCTAAAAGCAAAAAATAGAGATAATTATCTTTACCTTATCCAGCTGATATGCCATTTGATTCACCTGTTCAACAGAAACTGTAACCGCACCTAGAGGGCTGTGCAGTGAACCCCTTCGTTGGGTGAGGCAGTTGTGTCCACACGTAGTGCTCACTGGCATTAATGAGCCTGCTTCCAAGGTCCCTGGGCAGGGAAGGAGGGGTGTGTGGATTGACTCCCTTAGGTGATGGAACCGTCAGTGCAAAGGCATCCAAATTTAGGTGCCCTTCTATTCTTTATTATTTCTTAGCCACAGTCCTTTTAAAATTTGGTGGAAGTCCAGAGGAGAAAACAGCAAATATTATAATAATCTTGTAGGAATTGTTCTATAAAATGGATTTGAGAAAACGTAATATAACTGGATACATATAAGTGGATGGGAATTCTGCACTTGTGTATTAGAAGATGGGCCCTGGGAAGTACCCAGCATTGGGAGGATTAGGTCCAAAGCTGTAGGACTGGGCAAGTGGTCCAAGGCCACTGGAACAGCCGTCTGGCCAGCATTGGTAGCTGATGATGATACAAAGGTAGGATGGGGCCAGGTAGTGAAAGCCCAAATATGCCGTGCTGATGCCCTTGACCTTCATCTGTGGACACTAGGGAGCCATTGCAAGTTTCAAGTAGAGGAATGATCATACTTGTGTCTTAACAGAGTGGCAAGTGGCATTGCCTTGTGGATGGTAGAGAGATGGAGAGAAGAAAGTAGAGACAAAGAGACCAGGAGGAAGACAGTTACAGTCGGTCAGGTGTGGGAGGGTCTACACAAGCAGTGAGCCTGCAGAAAGAGAAAGGAGCCATTTAGGAAGTGCCCACACAGAGGACTTGGTGGCTCAGTCGAAAGCAACCCCCCCACATTTCTTTCTTGGAAAACCAGGTTAGGCACTCTGTTAACTGCGGGGGGGAAGCAAGGGCAGAAGCAGGCCTTCAGTTCCAGATGGGAAACACAAGTAAGTTTAGGATCGCAAAATGGTCCTTAGATGTTTGGAGGGCGAGAGAAAGATTAGAGCTAGAAGCAACGAGAAAAAGACATGTAAAACCTATGCTTCGTCAGGTGTAAAAATTCACATTAATTTCTTCTAATTCACAGTGTATTAAGTCCTTGTTTTGCACCGTGACTTTTAGGGTCACCCGAATACAGATTTGTCTAGGGGCCATGCAGGGCCTTGCAGGGAGACCACCCGTCATCTGAGCGACAACGATTACCCCTACTCAGATGTGGAAAAATACTGCGCTCTCATCAAAACCAACTGCACTGACCCTCAGAGTGTTGTAAACACTAAATGACAGAGAGCAGGTGAGACTGTCCTCCTGCAGTGCCTGGCACATAAAAGGTACTCAATAAATGTGATTGAGTCTGCAGATGACAAAGCGTCTGCATTTGCATGAAGCACAATATACAAAATAAACTTTTGAAACTTTAGGTCTAGGGCTCAGCTTTAATTAGAAACCTCTCTTCACCTTAACTCCTCATTTCCTCATTCTCTCCTCATTACCTCTCTCAGTACCCCTGCCCCCTGGGCTCCAACGTAATTCTTTTTTTTTTTTTTTAAGATTTATTTATTTGAGAGAGAGAGCACATGTGCTTGCATGGGAGTGGGGGGCAGGGCACAGGGAGAGGGAGGGAGAGAATCTCAAGCAGACTCCCCATTGAGCGCAGAGCCCAACGTGGGGCTCAGTCTCACGACCCTGAGATCATGACCTGAGCTGAGACCAAAGGTCGGACGCTCAACCAACTGAGCACCCAAGGTGCTCCCAACATAACTGTCTTTTATAGAACTTTCTATACTTGTCTGTAATTATTTATATGATTTTCTTCCTTCCAGGAAGGAATGCCAGTTTCTCCAGAGCAGGGGCTATATGAAAATAGTGGTATTTGTGTGCCACACTCTGCTCCATAATGTTATATTGCTTTCATCCTCACTCTCTGAGGTGTCATTACTGTCCTCGTAGATGAGGACACTGTGGCATAAACGGCTTACGTAGCCTGCTCAGGTTGACAGCCAGAAAGGTAGAGCTGATTCTCACACCCAGGTCTGCAGTTGCCCTTATCCACCGAGTGACACACTTGGGCGTCCATTCTAGCTCCATTCCTGTGCATGAGCCACACTCAGTAACCAGTCACAGGGTGATGGTTGTATGAGGAGAACCGAAAGGTTGGATTAAGGCAGTTTACTCTGTTTACTTGGAAGGTTCTAGGAGAGAAGTGAATGGTTAAATGTGCAGGCTCTGAAATCAGGCTGCCTGGGCGAGAAGCTCAGCTGGGTAACCCCTTGCCTCAGTTTCCAGTCCATAAAATGGGAATAACAGTAATGCTGACCTCCTAGAACTGGCCTGCGGAAGAGTTAAATGAAGTAATCTACATGAAGCACTTAGAATAGTTCCTGGTGCATTCTATTTATTTATCTATTTTTTTTTAAGATTTTATTTATTTATTTGACAGAGAGGGACACAGCAAGAGAGGGAACACAAGCAGGGGGAGTGGGAGAGAAAGAAGCAGGCTTCTCAAGGAGCAGGGAGCCCGATGCGGGGCTCAATCCCAGGACCCTGGGATCATGACCTGAGCCGAAGGCAGACGCTTAACGACCAGGCGCCCCCCTGGTACATTTTAAACACTCAATAAATATTGGTTCTTTTTTAAACTGTAGCAGTCCTAGCTAAGTACCTTATAGGGACAAATCTCAATGTTAAATAAACTGAAGTGTACATATGAATGAACAAATACACATGAATAAATAGTGTTTACAAAAATAGAGTGGCCAGAAATATTTCTACTTTGGGGCAAGATTATTTGACCCACTTTAAATTAGCACATTAAATAAAATTCAAGCCTAAACTCCACAGAAGCCAAACCAGGAGCCCAAAACCCAAAACCGAATTTCAAATTTAAATACAATGTTTCCTTCTTTCTTTCACAACTCCATGCTCTGCCCTCACTCAGACAAGGCAGCCATGAATTTTTTGCAGTCAGTTTTTTCCTACTTAGTTGGACATACTAAATTGTGGTTTTCAGGGTAGATATATGTGGCTTAAGCTTGTTTCATTGTTGTTGCTTTTGGATTTGGCTTGTTTTTTGGCTTTGGTGAAACACTCAGATCAATTTTTAAAAATATATTTGTGAGGGGCACCAGGGTGGCTCAGTCAGCTGAGCGTCCAACTCTGATCTCCGCTCAGGTCTTGATCTCAGGGTCGTGAGTTTGAGCCCCGCATTGGGCTCCAAGCTGGGTATGGAGTCTACTTAAAAAACAAATATATATATATGATACGTATGATAATTATTAATAGTAGGACACTTTTTTCTCTTTATTGGAATTATTGTGAATATTTTCCAGTAATCCTAGATTATCCAAATTTAAAAGTTATCAGAAGATAAATCCATGGCTACCCATCACCTGAAGATAATTTCATTAATGTTTATACTAAGTCATTCTTCTAAAAATAAATAATTTAAAATGTATTGCTCTCAACATAAGTAACTTCTGAAATCAGAATCTGTTTTGTTAACACCTTCTTAGCCCAATAAATACATCATCCACTGGGAACTAGTAAAGCAAATCAGCGGAGCAGGCGACTCTTTATTCACTGACCCGCTGAACTTAAGGCAGTATATGCTTGAGAGAGGAGGTTCCAGTGCAGACTGATTGGGTTCAAATCCTTACTTCGTCTCTAATTAGCTGGATAATCTTAAACAAGTTACCTGACCTTTCCAAGCCTTAGTTTTTGCATCTGCAAACTGGGGATAATAAAATAGTCACTTCGGGGGCGCCTGGGTGGCTCAG